CGCTTGGGTTGCCGATGTCTGTTCATCTTTCTCAGTGGATGCTCCGCCCCGGCCAATTCCCCGTTTTTTTTACAGAGCACTCTGATAATTAGTTTGGAGTTCGCACCAGCGTGAGTAAATTGAGTCATCGTACAAGAGATCGCGTCTTTCTCTTCTTTACAACAAGAACATGGGGCACGCATATTCGCTTCTATTCGTGAAATTGAGTCATCTTAAACTAATAACACCTTGTGCCTCAAGTTGGTTGGATAGCCGCACAAACACTTTGCAGGAAAATTTTTGTAGGCTTTGGTGTGCGGTGATTTCTTGCAGGGCTTTCGAAAATAGGAGATGCGTAAAAAATAGTTGTCAATGGTATGTTTTTTAAAGTTTATTTTTCTTCGTCTTCATACCCAGCTATGAGGCTTTTTCATAATTATGGTCAAAAATATTAACTATAATTTTATTATTTTTGCCGACATATCGTGATACACACTTCCTGACGTTTGACATAATCGTTGCTTGATATTGAACAGAATTGTTTGTGAAATGTACTATCCCTTCCAGTGTGTTCCTAGTAAACAATGTGCATCTGGTCTAAGAATATCCGAAAACGAAGATGCAAATAAAAATAATGGCATGCCTTTCCACTCCATTCCTTTGTCATTCAGCAAGTAAGATACCAATGAACAGTTCGCTGGGTTAGGTTGGGTTTCCGGTGTAAGTGTCTAGTACGTGAGCTACGCGCAGTTGATGTACAGCTGACAAATAATAGAACTGATTGCTGGAAGCCCGCGTTCGGAACGTTAACCAATATTTATACCATCTGTAAAATTGGTTACTTTAATTTTCATTAAATTCCTCAAGTAGACCTTAAAAACTCCTTATTTAGTACTTGTGTAGGTTCTCCACAGACGGCAGTATGCGCCGTTTCCGGGAGTATGGCATCAAGGAGAGAATTTACCTCCTTTGCTTTTCTGTGAAGATATTTAGCAGGCCGAGTGGCTGCCGCTCTTTCCGTCAGGTATTTTTTTGAAAACCCCGTTCAAAAAGAACTACCTAGCACTCACAGAGATTTTGAGCAAATATGTTTCCAAAAAACAGAAGTGACACGTGTTTGGGCGTGAATTTTTAAGAAGCATCCGAATTATTCATAATGGATGGGCATTGAGACCATCACTAATGCCGTATTGAATTAATGCTTTCATCGGATTTATGAGTTTGCTAAGAAAACCTGTTGATTTGACTTGATATTCATCCAAGGATTAGTGCGTTTCTCCGTCAAATTGAATAAACAGGTTTCGTATCCTCCTGTAGGTCGCTAGTCTCCCGTCAAATCGTTACGAATGGGGTCAGAACAGCATACCGGTCAATGTCTCTGGATCACGAGGCATTCAGTTTGCAGCCCTTAAGTTAACACGCGGGATATTAGACTCTTTTAAATGTTAAAAATGCTAATATTATTGATTACTATAAATCACTTTCGTTGACTCGGCAATTTTACATTTAAAGGCACAATCATGTTGGGAGACATCGGAAGAATCCCAATTATCACTCTTAGCGCATGCAAAAGCCTCTCTGAGATCCTCTCCGACCTTCCACTTCCCCAGCCCACTCCAAATGTCCCCCCAGATTCTGCTAGACTGCTTAATGATCCTCTCGTTAGAGAATCAGCGGAAGCGAACCTCCAAAGTTGTAAGGAATGGCTTGTAGACATTTTAGCCGCGGCGTTGGACAACACTTCCACGAATTCCATGTGAGTATTATTGTCTGTCTAATCCGCGCTTTTATTTAGAACTTTAAAAAATGATTCCAAAGCGCCTCCCATCGACTTCCACACTCTTCCTCCCTTGCTCAAGGACACAATTTCTAAGAGGCCGTCCTTACTAGAAAAGAACAAGAGCTTCCAGTGCATATACTCGAACAAGGAAGTGCTTCAAATCCTGTCCGGTGGGGGTAAGCGCCGCACTTTTGCACATAACTATTCGCTTCTAGCATGCAAAACAGGGAATTCATGTGGTCGCCTTACCTCACCATACGCCCCCAGTGGGTGTACGAGGAACGACGCATCTGCCGTCGGGGCATCCAAGAAAAGGAGCCAAAAGCAGACTAGCCAACCTGGTATATATAGCGTGGTCTCGGTGGAACCCCTTAAGCTTTCTATAAAGCGGGCGGCTAATCACTCGCAAGAGCTGACTTCCGATGCTGGTAAAACAAAACAACGCAGGCGAAGACGTGCTCCTGGAAAAGATACAAAATCTCCAAAACGCGTAAGCATATTCCTTCACATCCTTACTAATTGCTGAAAAACTTCATATAATCAAAATGCCTAATTAAGGAGTTATTAAATTTGCCGGAAAGTACCGCCGAATGTTTTGCTCACCTGCCCTACCCCCTCCCCCCCCAAGTGAAGAAGAGTTCCGGACGGTCAAACATTTTATATATTCAAGAGCGGACACACACCCTGTTCAAGACAGATTCTACAGACTAGAGTTACATTGGTCTCGCTGTGATATCAGTGATTTGAGTGTGTGAGGCTACGCTAAATGTGTTCCTGTCATCTGTGGATGCGAACTTCGGCGTCTGCGTCTGATGGGGACGTTCGGTTCGGGACGAGAACCGATGCATTCTGCATTCTGTGTGTGGTCGCTACGAAGGATTACGCTCGAGAGGTGCGCTGGACTAGCAACCCAGCGAAATCAGGAAATGGTGCGCGTTTAATTATGCTGCGCATCTATAACAAATGCCATACACATGGGGGAGGGGGTAGTGACAGGCCTAGACGTAGGCTTACATGCCGCTAGCCAGCTGCGCCTAATCCCTCCCCCCTTCCGATCTTTGTGACTCTGTCATGATATCGGGCACAGATAGACGAGGGAATAGAGAGTGCGGTCGTTGTTTCGTTAGTTAACCGGCACTACAGAACTTATCCACGCACAACTTACCGTCTCTGCGACAACAGTCTTGTGTC